CAGCCAGCCAAGGTCACCCCACCACAACTACTGAGAGCAGGAAAAAGATGGTGGCTAGCAGCCTGAGCCTCAGCACTGAATGTGCACTCCTTTCATCATCTGGAGTTAATATTCCCTCAGGTTGCGAACACCGAAGACTGGTTTGCATGGTAGTACACAAGGTAACAAAATCTGGTAGAAGTCATCCAAGACTGTCAAACATCTCACTTTGCAGTAACTTCCTAGACTGGTTTCTCCTTTCCAGAAATTCTCCTTCAAACTGGAAAGGTAGCAAGGTAAGTGAGTCAGGAAAGATGACCTCAGGCTGCAGCCACCTTTCCCACAGCCCGAAACACTGGGATAGAGACACAGCATGCTGTTAAACAAGGGCCAGGGCAACATTTTGGTGTTGCAAGGTGATTGTTACAGAGGCAAACCAAAAAATTCTTACCTTAAAATACATCTTTCTAAAAAATTATGCACTTCTGTGCATAAGTGCAGCACTAGTGATAACAGCATTGAATAGGAAGCACAGTGATGATACTCTCAGAGACCAGGAAAGTGATTCACCAAGTCAGAGTATGTTAACTGCTGTATATTTTGGCAGTAGTTTTATAAATACTGATCTGCACAGCTGAAGAGAATGAAATTAGGAAATGGTCATACCTCCTCTGTGGCTTGCAGCCATTTTTTCTTACTGCCTAGCTTGTGCTGGCACCAGCCATCCAGCTGACTGTGTGGTTGTCTACGCTGGTAAAAAATCATCCTTAAAACAAAAAGTCGAGAGTTTTCAACTGGTTCAGCTTATATTGTAAGTAAAAAGAGAAGAAAAGCAGGGAAGGAGACAGTGTAGGAAAGGAAGGCCTGTCTTTTTTGGTGAGAGAGTTGGCCGTAAAACCCCCATGGGGTCACAAGTCCTGCCAGCAAACCTGCTCCGGCGTGGGCTCCTCTCTCCACGGGCTACAGGTCCTGACAGGAACCTGCTCCAGTGCGGGCTTCCCACGAGGTCACAGCCTCCTTCACGCATCCACCTGCTCTGGTGTGGGGTCCTCCATGGGCTACAGGTGGTCATCTGCTCCACCATGGACCTCCATAGACTGCAAGGGGACAGCCTGCCTCACCATGGTCTTCACCACAAGCGGCAGGGGAATCTCTGCTCCGGCGCCTGGAGCACCTCCTCCCCCTCCTTCTTCACTGACCTTGGTGTCTGTGGAGTTGTTTCTCTCACAACTTCTCACTCCTCTCTCTGGCTGTAGTTGTGCAGTTTGGGCTTCTTTCTTCCCCTTCTTAAACATGTTATTACAGAGCTGCTACCACCACTGCTGATGGGCTCAGCGGCGGCTCCGTCCCGGAGCCGGCTGGCATTGGCTGTGTCGGATATGGGGGAAGCTTCTGGCAGCTTCCCTCACAGCAGCCACCCCTGTAGCCCCCCTGCTACCAAAACCTGGCCATGCAAGCCCAATACATAAGCATAGAAAAATTTCTGAAATGCCAGCTGTAAGCAGTGTTAGGAATCCTACAGTCAGTTGGTCCAATTAGTTTTGCCTGAATTTAGCATCTTGGGGTTTTTTTTGGTTAACCACAGAATCACAGAATCACATTAGGGATTGGAAGGGACCTCAAAACACCATCTAGTCCAATCCCCCTGCTGGTGCAGGAACCTAAATGAGATCACACCGGAAGGCGTCCAGGCGGGTCTTGAATGTCTCCAGAGAAGGAGACTCCACAACCTCCCTGGGCAGCCTGTCCCAGTGCTCTGTCACCCTCACTGTAAAGTAGTTTTTTCTCAAGTTTTAAGTGGAACCTCCTGTGTTCCAGCTCACACCCATTGCCCCTTGTCCTACCATTGGGCATCACTGAGAAGAGCCTGGCTCCATTCTCATGACATTTGCCCTTAACATATTTATAAACATTGAGTTCACCCCTCAGTCTCCTCTTCTCCAAGCTAAAGAGACCCAGCTCCCTCAGCCTTTCCTCATGAGGGAGATGCTCCACTATAGTGCTGCTATACTCAGGTCTGAACAAGTGCCACAAGAAGCATGCAGGAGATCTGCAAAATCCCTATGAACAGCCAGTGCTTCTTTTGCACTTTCAGAGGTGCTCACCCAAATACTAAATTTGCACAGGAATTAACTGCAACCTACCAAAATCTAAGCAAACATAAATGCAGAGTAATCTATAAAGATCCCATTTGCTCACCAGAAACCGTAACTTGTACTAAAGCCTGGACTCACTATTAAATCAATGAGAATTTTCCCAGTGCTTTCAATGGGAATGAACTTGCAATTCCATTGACAGTGAGTGTTTTAAATCAAAACAGGCTGTGTAGGACCACAACCCTTACTCCCACGAAATATAATTTTTGCCTGGCTATCAGAATGATGCTGCAGGCTGACAGATCTTACCATAGCAAGGGTTAAAGACAAACCCACATCCTTCTTAGAAAATACATCAAAATTGCCCAACACCTAAGTGCTTTGGAACAGTTAAGAGTGAAGCAATTCCTGAGGTTATCATGCATGCTTAACTAATTTTGAGCCATGAATTATTGGGCCAGCAACATCGAGAGACTAAGGAGAAATGGCAACAAACATTGCATATCTTCTTTGTTTACTACTGTCTTGAAGGCTGGCAACAGAACTGAAGTGCTCTGATGTGCCTTAAAAATGTTACCAAAGTCACTAAAGACCTAAATAATTACTACTAGAGAGCTGTCCCAGGACTCATGGGCATCTGAGCATGGGCATCTTTTACAAAAAAACCTTAAGATCTAAGCTGATTTCCTCTGTAGTTTGCCTAGAATTTGGAAAATCATGGTAATAGTCTATAGATCCGTCACTGTGTACAGGCTAGAAAGTAAACTGACAAACCTGTGTGGGAATATCCCCCTAAGAAATGCTACATCCTTAGCCGGGGTTAACCCACAGCACCGGGTCACACCACGTAGCCCTGCAATGACAGCATAAGCAAAAATGGCTGTAGATGTCACATGGAGGAGTACACACGAGCTCATATAATATATAAACAGATTTAGGTGTCTTAATCTCAAATCAAATCCAGAAGATAAATAAAAAATGGCCAAACAGAATACACATTCTCATCAACAATTTGCTGAAATATCAGGAAATGACCCTAAAGTTGGACCAGACCCAGAGCAGTTCAGGGTCTGTCTACATTAGTGATCTGGAGAAGGAATAGGTTTTAATTTTTTAATTTTTTTTTTAACTGTGCTTTGGTTTCCATCACAGTGTGGTCCTGGAGTGTACAAACTGGATTCTTTCTGGATGAAATTACACTGAAAGATGTGCTCCAAGAGTGCACCTACTGCAGTTTAAATGGCATTTGGTCCACACCATCACTCTTGAGCTAGGCTGAAGCAACCCTGTCCCCAAACACTGGTCTCTGTACTGACTGTTCTGTCCACATTCATTGCCACCGTGCCACCCTACTCACTAAAAGGCATGGCCATTGGCTACGAGGCTTATCACCACCAAGTACCGGCAGAGAGTCCCCTCCTGTATCTTCTGCATCTTTGCTTGTGGAATGTTTGTTTGAAAAGCATTACACCACAACTCTGCTCATATTCTGGAGAAAAAGTTCACTTAGCAGTGGAATTCAGATCAACAACTACAGGGTCTTCCAAACTTTCTTATTAAAGCAATCTGAGATTAAGCCAAAAGTTAAACTGTAATTGCAACTGACATTAGGAAGGCAGGTGACAGATAAGCCAAGTGTAGGTCAACATAAACCTTGTATTCCTGGCAATGAGGGAAAAGTATTTGTAATGCTGAGAACTTTAGCCACGCTGAAGATGGAGAAATTGATGACCTCTCAAGTGAGCAACTCATTCATCAAATATCAGACAAGTGTATTCACTGCATTCCAAGGTCAAGCAGCATCTTATTTTTCAACCCACAGCTAACACAGGAATTAAACAATGCCATCAGGGATTGAGCACAAGTCTTTTCTTGTAAACTATGTCATTAATAAAGAACTATAAATAACAGACATGAAACCCCAAGATAACATGCTACAGAGCAGCTTTTCAAAGCATAAGTGCCATTTATCAAAGTGACTAAAAACATCTGAAATTCTTTTGTCAAGGCATCTGCTGAAACCACAGTTTAAAAAAAAAGGAGAAGAAATAACATTTAGAGTTTGGCAGGAATTAGACCCTATATAGGGTTTGTGTACCAGGTTTGTGTGATGCTATACTACTTTCCCTTCACATCTCCCTCCTCTGGTTTATAAATGCAAATTAAATGCCTTTTCATTAAGCATGTGGGTTAACAAGGATCCCCTTCATATCAAGTGTAAAAAACTTATTCTCCGAGAAAAGTAAAAATTAAGTTTTAAAGCCGCAACTTTCATTCGTGAACCAACATGACAATATAAAAATAAAAAGTTTATTTAATTAGAACAGATCATCTCAATACAGCAGTTACACAAAAATGCCATTTGTTGATTTGTTTCCTAATTCAGTAACTAAAGTGCAGATTAGTTATAAAGGCACAATGCTCATATTTCAGACAAGTCACTAATTTCCAATCGGACTTGCAAGAGGAACACTTCCCTCCTATTTTCTTTAAAAGGCACTTGTTTCATTTGCTTACAGTGATATTAAACACAGCAAAGGCCTAAATCAAAAGCAATCATCATACAAGAATCTGATGTGGATCTCAGAAGAAAGTCCTCAGAAGCAGCAGAAGCTGAAGCTGTCAGTCAGCAACTCACATTTCTTTTTTTTTGCCTTCCCCTCTTTCAAACAGTCTCCAGGAAGACAGCATGCTTGAGGCCATTCCACTTGCTTAAAATTACCAGAAAAATCTCAAGGGGAACGAAGGAAGAAAATAGGCTAGGAGTAAAGTGTTATAAAAGATACCTGCCTACTGCATTTTATATAAGACAACACAAGATACTGCTCATTGAAACTCCTTTCGAACACCCTTCACCTTCCCTCTGCAGTTTAACTGGACACATGCAATCCGACAGTTCTCTGGAACTGACCACAGCTGTCCTTTCAGCCAGACACACTAATTGGCTTTTACATCATAATACATGCGGAGAACTCGCCTCACAGTCTCCACATATTTGTCATCAGGAACAGGTTTTCTCTGGCTTCCTGGCTCTAGAAATCTTTTGATTGTAGGGATGCTGCTTATCCTTGCTTTAAATGCCTAAAAGGTAAACAAGAAGTACATGGTACTTAAAGAACAGAAAGTAACACAAGAAAAATAGATTTTACTGATTTGTGAAGAATCCTTTAACAAGTTGTATGTGGAGGCAAGACAGGAAGTAAAGTTTTAGCCACGGATGAATTTTACTCCCCCTCACTCCAACCTTGTTATTTTAAACAGTAATAAAACAGCCCTCTGTCTTGTATTGATATGGGATGAAGCAGAAACAGTTATCTGTGGTTTCAGATGCGTACTTTACTCAAATCACTGCCTGTGAGCCAGAAAATATCTTTTGCTTAACAGTATCACAGAACTGTTGAGGGGAGGGAAAAAATAGGGAGGATGGATTTCTTCAGATCTGTACAGGGATTACTCCAGAAAACAGTAGATTTTCTAGATGAAACATATTACCAGGTTCTTCCCAAAGCAAGCAGAGCAAGACTACAATGAAAGAGGAGTCACAAATGCTCGTTCTGTGGAATTATGTACACAAAACAGACTTTGAAATATCATTTACCACATTTCCAGCCATATGAGTGTATTGTTAGTGTAAGGTACCTGTAACTGAGGAAAGCCTGAGAGCACGTCTGATTTCTTCTCTTCTACCATTAAAATGGCTTCAAGGAGATGAACATCTGCCCAGCTAAAGTTGTTGCCAACAAGAAAGTCCTGCCCATGGTCTTCCAAAACCTAGAAGTGTCATAAATGAAAACGCTCAGATGTGGATAGCTAGCTGGGGTTGATGGTTTCAAAATGCACAGGCACATCTTCTTTAACAATTCTTACTGTCTCCTCTTCTTTTCTCCTTTCTTTCCCATACAGCTAGGGATAGTGTGGGGGATGTGGGCCCAGTGCCTGCCGTGACTGATCACTTTATGAGATATCTATGAGCAGTCCTCACAGAGGCAATCCCAGGGTTTCTTACCCACCTTTCCTTCTTATAGCCCTAGGTAAGCCCGTGTTCTGGAATAGATACATCCTTGGTATTCATTCCTTTCCAGTCTAATAAATCTTGAATTTTTCTGTATATCATTACAGGGAAAACAGAGAATGTAAAAGAGAGGTGGTCAAGTGAAAGCCTTTGGGCTAGGATGCAACAAGTGGGATCTCAGGCAGAATGAACTCTGGCAGCCATCTATAGGAGAGCTGGTATTTAAGTGAGAAATTGTCTTCCATTTAGTCTTTGAAACAGAAAAGCAGCTATTTCTGCCACATCATCCTGTCTGTGTATATTAATTTCCATTGAGAGAACCTCTTGGGCCCTACCTCTCAAAGGATCAGTTTGAGAAACACCAAGATTCCAGTATGGCTTAAGCAGCAGACCACTCAGACCAGAAGACAGCAGTGATAGCTGTGTGTTACTGTGGTTAAAAAAATATGTACATGTATTTGAAATGTTAAACAAAGCTGACAATTATCTATTCTAAAATGGCATTGTCATTACAATGCAAGTTACACACTTTCATTTCTCCTAAAAACAGGAAGTTGCTATTTAAACTGTGTATAGCTATGTTTGCACATTCATTGGATCCTAACAGTTTTAAGCCAAAGGGGATACTTGGGCACTTCAGTCTGAGTGCTGATGCTGCGCTGCTCAGACCATGAAATCTTATGTAGGAATTTCTGCATTTAACCCACCCCAGCTTGTATCATACTGCTCTGATCTCCCTCTCCTCTCTCCAGCCATCAGACAGTACAGTGTCCTGGTTTAAAGTACTGCACTGACAGCTTTCTGTTTCCTCTGCTTTTGGTAAAATACCCAGTGTTCCCATTGTCATCCTCCAGAACAACAGAAGGAAATGATCCTCCTACATACCTTCTCATACGCTGGGAAATACCTGCTTGTTGCCTTTTGAACGATAACAGCGCGTTGTTTCTCTTTATCCTCAGCCGATAAGAAAGGGAACATCAGAATGAAGCCCATAAGGTCATCAGTTCCTCCAACACACATATCAATCCTTAAAACCAAAGCAAACAAAGACCTTAAATAATAAGGCACCTTCATAAGCAGAGTTTTCTTAGACTTGTGTTGTGATAGCAAAAGTTGAATTTCCCACCCCCATCATGAAAACTATTTTTTGTAGTTAAAAAAAACCACACGTCACAGTCCGAGTCTCACTTGTATTTGTAATGTTGTTGGCACTTTACATTGTGCAGGATTGAACAGGATTGTACAGAGGTTAAAAAAGCTTAGCTTTGGAGTTACAGATCACTTCAGAATCACCAAAGAAACACACAACACCACAAGAAGTCATCCCCAACTGGCTTGGTCATTTGAATGTATCCCACCTTCAGGGTTTCATCCAAAGTCCAAGTGGAGCCAAACAGATTAATAATGGGATTGGAAACCTGAAATGTAGCAGGTTCCGCATGTAGCTAAATTATGAGTGCAACAGTTCTTCAGATTGCCCCTTCTATCCATTCCTCCAGAGCTCTGACAGCAGGTTTTGTACTGTAGACAAGACTCAAATTTAAATTAAGTCATCATTAATATGAATAAGATGTCTGGTAAAATAGTTTAACAAAGTCTTCTAACCATCCTGTGTCGTAAGAGCTTTGAGTTCCTGCTGTGTAATAAGACTAACTGTAGTGTTTGTTATCAGGCGACAGCTTCTCGACAAAGCCTCAGTAAGGATTAAACATGTTATGAGCAGTAAGAAGCCATCAGATATTCCTACAAGCCTCAGTGTATGCCAGCTTCTCGCCTGCATCTATCCACTCTTCCAAAACTGCACTTCCACACTGTACAAGACCAGATATCCAAAGTACTTAAATCTGGAGCTAATCAGACCAAGCCTTCCTCAAAACACTGATGCTCCCTTTCCCCTGCTCAAGAACAGATCAACAAATATACTTCATTGATATTTGCTGGTCAGACAGTAGGAATAGGCTCCAGGCTAAATTTAAGAAATTGATGGAAGAGAATTCTGTTTGAAGGAAGAGGTATGCAAGGAAGATATGCTACAGGAAATGATGGCTTATTAGTAACACGAAGAAGCTGATAAGCTGTGACTGAGGCTCCTGTTTGAATATTCATTCTTTTTGTTGCTCCCCTGAACCTGCTTCAGACAATTCTTCCAACCACCTGCACCATTTAATGGCAGTTTATTGTAAAGTATCTATTACAGTTAGATGACTTACTGGTCAACTTTTAGTTTTCCTTCTTTTGAAAAACAACAGGAAATGGAAAATAGGAAAATCAACAGGAAAACATTTAAAGGCTACCTATTGAGACAGCTCAATCATTATTTTTTTTCCTTCACACAGACACAACATCAAGGCCTGGATTTAATCTCACATGAAATCAGAAGATTTTCAACAGCTTTTAGCTGTTCTTTCCCCAGTTCCCAAAGACCTAAACCATGCACCTCTACAGTGCTGTGGAACATCAAGTAATCACAGGTAACATGGTAAGACAGATATTATTTCACAGCCAAGAGTTAAAAACTAACCATTGCTTTATGAAAAGTTTTCTGTTTACAAAAGTAGTTCAACATTTACATGCCAGTCACCTCTCGAATACCTGTGTCAAGCTGTATTAATCTTGTACTAAAGCACAATAAACCCCTGCCTCAAATATTTTTATGTAAAAACAATCGAATTAGAAGAAAATCAGTTGGCTTGCATCCAACTGTGGCCTGCCAGGCTCACTGCAATGTGTGAGTCACTGAGGAACACAGGTGATTCTCTGGGTGTGCAAGTAAAGCAATTAATTCTAGATGTATCTAAGCTACTATAATGAATTTAAAGTAGTACTGTTACAGTACAGGGCTCTCTCCTTCAGGTCCTTCCCATAGAGGTTGTACTTTGCTGCTATGTAGCCGAGGATGGCTCTAGTCTGCACCATCTTCATCCCATCAATTTCCACCATGGGCACTTGCTGGAACATCAGGGATCCACCTAAAGGGAAAACCACACAGTATTCTACTGGATCCAGTAACCCCACCTCAGATTTCTTGCTGTCTTCAGAAGATCATTCCTTTTATGGTGAGCTTACTGTGGGTAAGTCATTTTATTAAACTGGGGTTCTCCCATACAAACAATAAATTACAGTGGTGCAGACAAATTAAACTGCAGAACACAATTACTAAGGATTAACATCCTTGCTTTAAAAAAAAATCACTGAAGTTGCAGTCAGGACTATGTACAGGGGCTTTGATGCTGAAACTGAAATACAGTGGAGACAAGCACACTAAATGTAAGGACTGAGCAAAAAGTGTCTAATCCTAAATACATTTTTAAAATTCTGTTCCATTATACAAAAAAAAGTTGAAGCAAATGTCAGATTCCCAACTTTCTCTCCTATAACCAGTATCTTAAGCTAAATCAGGACATTCAGTGAAGTCTTAGGATACATTTTTTTCAAGTTACTGCAGACAAATGGGGAACAGAACAACCCAGAGGCCTGGAAAACTCCAGGTTGGAAAGACACTCAATTTTCAATTGCATCTGTTCACATATAGGAAAAAAAACAGCTTCTGCAGCTGTTCACAGCTCTCAGTTTCACTCCCCTTGCTGCTGTGTGGAAAGAAAGTTCCACACATCCTTCAAGTCTTCTCTTCACATGCCTCTGAGACTAAGTAAAGTCTGGTCACACTTTTCTTGAGGTTTCATGTGGACTCACCTTGCAGAAGCTTCTCATACTGTTCTCGAGTTTCCAAAAATTCTTCTTCAAACTGACAAAAGAGAACGAGGAAGAAGAGGAAGTAAGTTTCTTTTCACATTTCTAGAACAGATAAACTTTTTAAGCATCATAAAAGGAAGAGAATATACATCATGGTTCCCTCAATTCCAGATACGGCTCTAAGGGAGAAAATACCAAGGGCAGAAGCACTGACAAAACCTCTTGGACTGTCATATTTGACAAATGCTGCTACAGGCAACCCTAGCAGAAAAACAGGCAAAAAGAATTGGCGTGAGGATGTTTTTTTGGTACTGAACTGGCAATTCATTGCGAGACAGTCAACAATACAGACGAAGCTGTCCTTAAAATGCTTTCTGGTATGTGGAAAAAAGGTCTGCTGTGAGATATTGTGATTTGGAAGCTAGACAGGAAAAAATTCTTAGAAAGTTAAAACAAAGCTTTTAAAAAATAATGTAACAGTATTATGCCCAGTAGGAAGTTTAGTACAGAAACATGTTTAGGACACCTAAATATGAATTATTCACTAGATGAGAAACAAAAAGATACAAAATTGCCTGTGACGCAGTTATATTCAACATGGTTGAGGATGGCTGGTCCAATCAGTGCTACTTACAGAGGAATTCAGTTCAAGATTAAGACACCAAAGTTAGATGCCTACGTGTACGTGTTTGCATGTGCCATGCCTGTCTATAATCCATGGAGACTAGAAAATGATTGAGTTTACCAGTCCCTAGGTGCCTAGCTACAGACTCCCAAGGACCCTTCCTCAGCCAACCTCTCTCAGAACATCTGCAATTTATGTTAATAATTAAGACTTGCTACACTAGGGAAACCCCAGAAGATTAGGCATATTAATATAGTGCCAACGGTCAACCATAGTAAGTGTGATCAGAGTCTAAAATTCTAAATCAAGTTTCTGCTGATGAAAGCTGGGAAAAGAATACCTCAAGGAAAAATATAATAACTGGTACCTGTCAACAGGGGGTTTTTAAATTAAAAAAAAAAAAAAAAGAGAGGGAATTAAAACAAAGGAACAAACAATGCAGGGAAGCAGCCAGTTGTGTCTTCTGTAAGGCCTTCAAATAGAGTGGTGGTCTTTTTGAAAAACTCGTATTCCTCGGCTCAGTAAAGGAGTAACTGTATGAACTGTAACAGCCAACGAGACAAAAGAAGACACTCAAAGCAACTACTGGTCCTTTCTGCCCTCAAACCAAGTTATCATTTGATCACCAAGATAGAGAGCAAATGAATAAGTAAATTATATTCCATTAAAAAAATATTTTAAAGTGGTGTCTTGCTTCTCTGGTTTACCCAGATATTTTTCTTCCTGCTCTGAGACTTTTAATTTCCCTGCACACGTGGGTCAGTTTGCTCACTTCACCCTGTTAAGCCTCATCCAAATGATCCAGCTAAGACAAAACATATTTCGTGCTATAGCTTATTGCGGAGGATGCAGCCAGCAGAGTGAAAAATAAAATAAAAATCTGTGTGTGAGCATCCAACTGAAAACAGAAAGACTAGAGAAAGTAAATTTGTTGCTGTTTTAATTGGCACAGATAATACTTGTTATGCCAGGAACACATCTATCATTCAGCTCAACAGCTCTGGGTCAGTAATCAAATGCTTAATTAAGCATTATGCATTCTTGCATTAAGCAAGAAACTGGTTTACAGTGTCACTGCTCAGAAGACACGTAACCTGAAGCCATATCTTTGTGTGCCTAAAGTAGGAGTGTTTAATTACACTGAATAGCCAGTGCTCTTTTACTATTGCATCTTGGGATGCTTTTTCTTTTTTGGTTAATAATCTGTGATCTACCTCAAAGACAAGCTTACCAAGGCACAGCTTAAAGTTAGAAACACTGAAACAAACCTCAACCCCAGCTGCAGCTAGCAACCAGCGAACCGACTCCATCTTGCCTCTTCCATCAAAGTAGTACAGTTTTGGTTTTCCGGCCATGTCTTCAAACTTCCCGTTACCTAAACTAGTTATAAAAGATAGTAAGTTAATAATGATACAGAAGTCTGATGGCAGCTGGAATAACAGTTCACAGGTCACTTACAGGACAAAAATTGAAGTTAATTTTTGACAAAAGATTTCAGTAAAATTTCGGTCTAAACTGATTTGGCTTTACTGCTGCACAGTCAAGTCACAGTATTTCATAGTCTTTTCCTTCCCCTGAAATTTAGGAAAAGTAAGCATCAAGTTCCTAAGTAAGAGATAACAGGGGAAAAAAAAGTCACCACTAAGGATAAGGAAATCTTTAAAACTTTTAGAAAGTGTAAGTTTTAGCACTGGAGTTACTGAATCACCACTGAAAGCCAAGTTTCAATCAAAGAAGAAGAGGGCAGTAGACAGGTTTTTCAAATCTGGCAGTCCTTATATCAAAGAATGCCAAAAGCATCTAAACATTAATTCTATGCATACTTAGGTGAAGTATGGGAACGTATTTTCAAAGCCTCTCACTTTTCTTTCTAGCTGTGGTGATCCAGGGTAAGTATGTAACCCAGAATCAGTAGAAACTTCAAAAGAATAACCAGTTTCTTCTGTAATAAACCAGGTTAAACTACAAAGATTCAGACTGTTGCACTACTTATCCTTCTGCTGGTTGCATTTATTTCTATTAATAAACCCTGTTGCTAAGCAAAAGTTTATAGACTTTTCAGTTGATCAAATAGACCATGCTTTGCAAGGAGCATTTTAGTTCTTGAATGGCTTCATAAACAAGGCTATTAATTGTTATTTTTTGAATAGACTAGTATTTAGGTCTCAGCAGTTTGAACTGGATTCCACTGTAGAGCCATAAGCCAAGGGAGCATCCAATTTCATCATACTGGCATTTCACATACAGAACTCTGCAACAGCAACTCCTTGCTGCAACAGAGAGCTGTTTGCCCTCTGCAGGGAGATTTCTCATCACTCCAACCCACAGTTCAAGTACTCCTGGAAGAGTCTGTTGGCATGCAAACAGTAACCTCCAGTTCCAAATGTTGCAAGAGCTCCTTTATAAGCGGAGGGGAAAAGTGACCTTTAAAAGACCTTGAGCACAAAACAAGGCAAGCAATCCACTTGTTAGCTAACAGGCATGAAAATAAACTGCACAATGTGAGACTGCATCTGACCACAGGAATTCAAAAGAGCCAGGCGATTTGGTCCTTCACGCTTGCTTAGAGGCCTCCATTTCTTCTTAGGTAAGTCATTGGGAACTTAAATGTTGCTGAGTAGCATCTAGACTTCTAATAAATACGACAGTGCATGAGAAACAGAAAAAAAAGACTTAAGAAAAGTATTGGTTTGAACTACGTGAAAGAAAAGAATGAAACAAGAGTTGCTTGTAATACAGATAAATTCACAGAAGGTGGGGGGGGAAACCCAAAGGTGAGTTTTAACTTGGAAGTTTAAGAAATTAAAGAAACAGAAGAGTGACTTCTTCAGCGCACCTTCCTAAGACATGCTCCTAGCAGGCCAACTGACAGGTTGCAGGAGATAAGCAAGTCCCTATTGCCAAGCACAGGTCAGTGCAGCAAAGGGAAGGTAAAGACATGGTGGATGCATGTCTTGTAACTACAGGGGGATCAACAAGCTCTCAAACAAGCCGTAGTGTTTTGGTTCTTAAGTCCGAGCCTGCCATGCAATACTGGAAGAGACTTCTGAACTGAACTCTGATGGAAAGAGCACCCTGGGGATGGGCAAAGAGCTTTTCCCTTCCCTGCTCTTCTCACCAGAAGTAAAGGAGGGACAACGGCAACTTGCAGCCAGGAGCCGCAGTGGCAGGTCGGTCGCTGGCCATCCCCCTCAGCCTGATATCTCAACAGCAAAGGGGACTTTGGGAAAAAGGGGCCTGAATTTACTCCCTTGTTGTGGTTTATGAAGGCCACCTGGGCTAACAGGGAGAAAGAGGGAAACATAAATATCTGTGTAAGAAGTCACTGCTCCCACGCTAGCCACACAGCCCAGAAGAACACTGGTGAG